CTCTCTCCTCCTCTCTCTCTCTCTCTCTCTCTCTCTCTCTCTCTCTCTCTCTCTCTCTAGAAATGGGGTGGTAATGGTGTTATCAAGGATTGTGATTATCAGATGAAGAAAATGAATGTAAAGCTCAACAATTCTAGGGTTTCCAATTGCTGGAAGCCGTCACCTGAATTTGTAGAGAGTGTGTGTGTGAGAATTCAGAGAAATTCTCTCTCTTTCTCTCTCTCTCTCTCTCTAAAAATGAAAGATGGTATGCAAGTGGGTTGCCGGGTGCTGGTTGATTATTTAAATGGAGAAAATTACGGTAATAGCCTCGTGAAATTTGTAAAAGGACAATGTCATCCGTGTCTTTTAGATTGCAATCTTTTGACTTTCTCACTCTTATCCAAAATCCTTCTCGCTCTCTCTCTCATTTGATTCCTTGTCAATTTTAAGGCCCGATTTTTCCCGCCACGAAGCTCCCTCTCTCTTTCCTTCTGCGCCTCTCTTCCTTCATTCTCTCTCTAAAACCTACAGGACCACTCTCTTACTTCTTTTTTTTTTTTCATTCTCTCTCTAAAACCTACCGGACCAACGGACCTGAACCCGGACCCAGTCAAAAAATTAAAAGCGTTGTCTTTAGTTAAATATATTTTATATATTGGGACCCGAAAATTGTTATTGGATCAACAGCCGGACCCGGATAGAGTTCAAGTCTAAGATTTGAACCCGGACGCCACCTGTTGGGTCCAAATTTTAGACCCATATGCAGACTTGGGTCTATCCCTTGGATCCCGGGTCAGGTTTGAGTCCATTGCCACCCCTACTTTTTTGTGGTTTAAACCATGGATTTGTAGGGTGGACCGCCCATTTATGGATTTTGATTTGGATAAGCCAATATGAATCGAGTCAATTGAAAATACAATGAAATAGAAAACCAAAAAATATAAATAAGTTAAAAAAAAAAAACTAAAAACTATGACTCATTTGCCAACAATGTAAACTTCGACTAGGCTTCTCGGTCATGGTCACATGGACAAAACCATTGCTAACCATTTTTTGTAAGGGTGCAGTTTGCCTACGGATGCATCCCTAGGTGTAGAGGTAAGGTGTACATTCAAATTTTATAATGGTATATAATTTTGATGTAAAATGTTTTTAGGATTATCTCAAAATCTATTTTTATATCTAATTGTAAAATTTAAAATTTAAAAAATGATTAAAATCACGTAAATCGATAAACATATGCACATATTGAAAATAGATGGTGTAGATAATATGTTGTAAAATGGACTATTTCTAAGACTTAAAATCTTTTTATTTTTCATAGTTATACATCTCGATGATCAATCAAAAAGTTTTTCAACATTAAAACTACCTTTTCCAATGGATTTTTGAAAAGCATCGGTAGTTCTACATTACAAAGGTAGCATCCTTATATAAACTTTTTCCTTTTGATAAAATGGGGTTTATAGATAATATTAGGGGTGGGTAAGGGATCAGGCTAGGGGTAGCTCTATCCTGAACCTATTATTTGAAGGGCTAGCTTGAGCTCGTTCTGGCTCATATCATGTCAAAGAAATTGTGGCCCACGCCCGGCCATAGTGTCGACAAATCCGAGCCGAGCCAAATATAATAAAAATAAACCAAAAATAATAATATGGAAAAAAGAGCCAGCCTAGGGTCGAGAGGGCCCAGCCTATAGGGGCACTCGTGACATCCTCGGTCAAGTGTGACCAATGCTCTAGTTTTTTAGGGCCAAGCCGAACTAGCCGACCGGCCCATTGCCCTCCTAATGCATATTGGCACAGCTATTGATGATTCCCCAATCTCAATTCTCGATTCGGATTAACAATTTTTTAGTCTCTGCCTTGCCGGGTTAATAGCTATTGATGATTCCCCAATCTCAATGCGTAATTCTCGATTTGGATTAGCAATTTTTATTCTCTGCCTTTACAGCTTAATACATATTAGCACAGCCATTGATGATTCCCCAATCTCAATATGTAATTCTTGATTCGCATTGGCAATTTTTAGACTCTGCCTTCACTTCGCAATTTATTAGGGAAGGAGGAAATTTCCAGCATTCCGAGAGAAGTTTGAACCAAAAAAAATGGCCATTTTAATCTATTAAAAAAATGGTATTTTATGTAAGGAAAATGGTTTGATGGGGCTGCAAGCAAAGCCTCACCTCCATAACTCATCAAAAATTATAATTCAAGTGTTGAAAAACCCTTAAATCGATCATCTCAGTTTGAACATTATGGTTGTACAAAATAAAATTAAGATTTCAAATTCTAAAAATAGTGTATATTTTTCGGTCTTTGCCTTCACTTCGTGATTTATTAAGGAAAGGGGAGATTTCAGGCATTGCAAAAGAAGTTTGGAAAAAAATAGGCGCTTTAATATATATATATATATATATATAAAGTATTTTATGTAAAAAAAATGGTTTGATTGGACAACAACCCTATCAAAATATGTAAAGCCTCACCTCATAAGTCATCAAAAATTACAATTCAAGTGTTGAAAAACCTTAAAATCAACCATCTCAGCTTGAACATTATGGTTGTTCAAAAAAATTAGGATTCGAGTTTTTAAAAATAATATATATTTTTAGTCTCTGCCTTCACTTCGCGATTTATTAGGGAATTGGGAGATTCCGACATTGCAAGATAAGTTTGAAGCAAAATGGGCATTTTAATCTATAAAAAAAATGGTATTTTCTGTAAGAAAAATGATTTGATAGGGATGCAACTTTATCAAAATAAGTACAACCTCACATCATAAATCATTTGCAATTCAAGTGTTGAAAAACCTTTAAATCGATTATCTCAACTTAAATATTATAGTTGTTCAAAAAATTAAGATTTCAAATTCTAAAAATAGTGTACATTGTGACCAAGATCAATACTATTTTTTGAATTTCTAATTTCATGGTCGGTATGAAAAGTTAATTTTAAAGCATTTAATTTCGATGTGAAAATTGTTTTTTCGAACGGGGATTTGAGGTGAAGCTATATTTTGTTTTCATAAAACCAAGGCCTCATAGAAACTAAATGGACGTGTGGTTGAGAGAGTTCGAAAAGGAAAGGGTATTTGGAGTAAAATTGACATTTTATGAAAAAAAAAAAAAAACGAAAAAGAAGAGAGTGAGAGAGGGGGAGTTTGTAAGAGAGAAGTAGAGAGAGAGAGAGAGAGAAGGAATTTGTTTTGACTGGGCTTGTTGGAGAGTCGTTGTCTGCAACTTGTGGGCCCACTGGTCACAAAAGATGATGTTGTTGGGTAACACTTAGGAAAATGGGAGTAGGTAAACGAACAAGTGAACAACCATGATTTGACACGTTTTCAATCCCTATTTTCTCTTTCTAAATATAAGAATCCTAATTTTCTCTCTCTAAAAGTAAAAATCCCAATTCTTTGTCTCTAAAAGTGAAAATCCCAATTTTTTCTTTCTAAAAATAGGAATCCCAATTTTCTCTCTCTAAAAGTGGGAATCTCTCTCTACGTAATGACATGAAATCACCCTTTCCCATCTCAACATGAAGGCTAACTTAAGATTATTAACCCTCCTCTCTCTCTCTTTGAACATATCTTTCAGCCTTTCTCTCTCTACACTCGTTATGGTCTTTGAGTTTCTCTCTCTATTTAGCAAGCATGATATCGAAAACCTTCTCTTCGGAGGGGTTTTAGTGCCTAAGCTGATGCATTTGTTGAAATGCGGCTCCTCCTTAAATCTTTGTCCATGCTAGAGATGGATCTGAAGTCAGAAGTCGGTGATCTTGATCACAACGATCATCACTGAGAAAGGAAATTATTTTAAATTTTAAATAAGCTTATTTTAAAATCTTTTTTTTTTTTTATAGGGTGCGGTTTCTGTAAGGTTGCAATCTTAAACAATCCAATTAAGGCGCATTTTAAAACTTTATCATAGCATGTAATTTTGTTGTAAAAAATTCTTAATATTATCTTGAAATTTATTTTTCATACCTAATTAAAAAATTTTAAATTTTAAAAATGGTTAAAATCACATAGATCTATAAATATATGAAAATCTTGAAAATGGATGGTCTAAATAATATGTTGCAAGATACACTATTTTCGGGACTCAAAAACTTTTTTTTTCATATTCATACATCTCGATGTCGAGATGATCAATGAGAGGGTTTTTTCAACGTGAAAACAACATTCCTGATAGATTTTTTAGGTGTGTCTGTGATTCTACGTAGCGGAACTTTTCCTTTCTTTAAAAAGCCTAGTTTTAAAACTCATGTCTCCCAATGAATTGACCTTTGGAAATTGCCAATCCGGATTGGCAAATCAAACCGATTCTCCAATGTGAGAAAATGTCAAAAAATACAAAAAAGTAAAAATGAAAATAAAAATGCAATTTGTGGGAACAAGGGAGCCAAATAAATTTCCACTCCGTATAAGCAACTCCATATCTGAATTGCCAGTTTTTTAAACACTTTTAAAACTTCAGCTGTTAAATTAATACATGAAAGGGAAAATATTATATAAGGGGATAACTTTATAAAATATTGAAGTAATCCAAACTATCCATTTTAGTTCGATGGTGTGAATTTGACTCTACCAAAAAAAAATGCTAAATTTTGATGTTGTATTTTTAAGACATGCTAAAACTACATTATCCAACAAAGCCGATGTGCACAACTCCACAATGTTACTTCTATAATTAAGGTTATCGCTTTATATAAACCTAATATTATCAAAATAACATCAATTTTTTTTAAAAAAAAGATAAAATACAATTATATCATTTCGTATTCAAATATTTTTCTTACTTAAACAATCATTAAAATTCTCTGCATGATCAGTATCTCTTGGTTCATCTCTCTCTTCCTCCAAAGTTTACGTGGCCTTTATGTTTGATCTCCATAGCAATGTCAATTTGATATCAATACTTTGCTTTTTCAACTTTAACCCAATTTAGTTCGTACTTTCACTTCTTTTTTTTTTTTTTTTTTAATCATATCGATATTAGATATGTGTCGACACTCAGTATTCAAACATCATACTTTGACTATAGTTGTCAAGGTCTACGTTGTAAAAAGTGAATGTGTAGCCCCGAGTCGAGAACCCATCTGCACTCTGAACCAATGGTTTAAAAACCGGATCGGTGACCCGGATCGGGTTTTTCAAAAATCGATCCGGATCGGCGAATCGGCGATCCGGATCGAAATCTGGTGAATCGGTCAGAATAAAG